TTTTCGGTTTTTTTCTTTTAGAATCAATCACAAAATACACCCCTTTCTTGCAAAAATTAACAAGAGGCGCTGTGTTTTTATTCCTTACCACACACTTGCTCATAGTATCATTATTCGCCAAATGCTACTCCTTGGCTTAATACAAGGTTATGTGAGAGAAATTAGCAATTTAAAAAAAACAAAACGTAAGCTTACCTTCCATTGTTCTCTGCGTTTGGACATCCTTATTTTTAGAGAATTTCCTGATTGCATGATTTAGTTTCCTCTTGGTGGCGTTCAGCATTTTCTTCTCGATCAAATCACCTAAGGTACGACTCCATTGCTTCATAAAGTCTTTTAGTTGCCCTCGAGAAATGCATTCAGATTTCAAACTTCTTTGAGGATTGCTTGCGAACTGCGATGTTTTATCTCCGTCCGGGCTGCAATGTAAGTTCCTCGTCAATTCGTCCTTTCCACGAGCGGTAACAATAGGACCCAAAAGTACTCCTGCCCCAAATGCAGCACAGATCAAAGCAAACAGCGCAGCATTGCACAACCACGTTTTGTAAGATGTATGAATCATGGCGAGGTCTTTCCCCATTCTGCCGCAAACTGGAGAACGGTGCACACTGGTAAATTCAAATGCGTGAATCGTATACCGTGCATGTGTATATATATAACTCAAGCTGTCATCGTGTATCGCAAGGGGTCATGTAATCAATACTCTCTCGTATTTACTTTCTATACTCTGTGCGTGCTTTGTGGAGAGCCTGATCATATCACAGACTTAACAACCTCATTTTATCTCTTTCCTGAACGTCACTGACCGCCAAGACACTGCTAATCGAACCTACCACTCATGCGCGAAAGTCAGTCATGTTCTGGGTTTCCCTTTCTTCAACTCAAAGTTCTCGCTTTTGTTCGGAAGTTTCCTGAATTTGTTTTTGCCCAGGTCCTTACCTTTCTCTTGCACCTATTGTACAGAGCCTAAATGTCCTCAAGCATTAGTGGTTCCTGTTTTCCTTTTTTCCTTAAAAAGTAAGAACAAAGGCTTTGTTCGACTAATGTACACAACGTACAGACTACACCTTGGCTTAGAAAGAAAATACATCTTTAAAGAACGATATTCGTCTATGTTTCTTATGTCAGAAAAATGGTTTAACTTCAAAGTAATAAGGATCCTCCCATGTTGGAATAAATATCTCAATTTTTTTCTTTTCTAGCCTTCTCGAACATTTTCTACCGACAAAAGGTAGCCAGATGTGAGAGCCGTCAATGGACTCCATCTGTGTTAATTAATTGATTTTTCTTTATGAAGAGATCTCTTTTCACTTTGGAGGTGATTTTTCTTTATTGCTGTCAACAGGGTCACATGAAGCTCCATACTGCCAAAAATAGTGCAAACAAAATTTACCCAGAAACTGTGATACGGAGAAAGATCTGAAACATTTGTGAGACAAACGTGGGACAAAGAAAGAAATCTTAGTCGAGACCTAGGCCTTCCAATCGAGTTCACGAGCGGATGCTTTACCTTGAGATCTACCGATTCTTTGGCAAGCCACGCATAATTAGGTCATACTGTTCTTTCATATGTTGGAACTGCCCTGTATTTTAATTGGATCAGCAGTGTCGAACCGGCCTCTAAGAGAGATGGTTAATGTTGAGTTTGGGCACTGAATTAGGAGGGTTGTTGAACATCTGACAGAAGGCAATAACAGACATGGTTAGAAATACAGGCACTTCGTTCATTTTTTGGTCACGTTTTATGTATTGATAGATTAAAGGGAAACTGGACATTAAAAAGATGAGATACGAGATCAGCAAATAAGCCAGGATATTTAATGGGGCGCTGCTTCGAATTCACAGTGCTTCAACGAAAAAACACCGTGACTTCAAAAAATGTTTCCTTAAGCTCAAACAAGAATTTTGTCAATAACATACAAACGAGTAAGACATGGCAGCGTTGTTTATCTCCCCTCGCGTGATCAACATCCCAGCTGAGACAGAATCGTGCAAAAAAAAAAGCTCTAAAACCAACATTCCCTAGATAAGTAATCTTGCATTTATTTGGTGTAATAAAAACATCTTCAAGTTGCTTGTCAAACAGAGCCAGTGAGAAGTTTTACAGACAATTTGATTGTCATAGATTAGCGTGTTATGAGCGTCTACTGTAGTAACGTGCTGCCATCGTATAACCGAACCCCTACAAGGGAAACCACATAAGGTTCTAGTTTTTCGACATGTACAGGACAGATGTTTTACTGAATAGAAATGCTTGTGATTTGTCAAGGTATGTTTCAAGACAACTAGGGCAGAGGTTGTTCAGATTTACGACGCCGAAGCAAAATGTTTTCCCAAATCCGCTTTGTCAACAGACGTACAACACTTAAGATATTATCTACAATACTATCAAGCGCTAAGAAAGTTCCAGGGGCTAAGCCCTGCTGGATTGCACACAATGCGCATACTCTCACTTCATACGAAGAAAGAATTCTTCTTTCATCTCTAATGAACTTTTCTGATAGGCTATCTAACCGGCTACCGTCAAAATTGAAATTACCAGGAGACTTTTATTGATCAAAGAATGTTCAGACGAAGTCTGAGGTATATTTATCCAGAATGAGATTCTCTTAGGGTGCGACCCATCTAACTCCTGCAATCGAAATGCAACACTACCATCAAGATTTTTGAAGAATTAACCAAGTTACAGAGATTCTTTATGTCGCATTGTGCACAGCAGGAAAACTAACACCTTCGTGACTTCAATTAGTTGCGTGTGCGCCAAAAAATCCCATATCAAAACGATCGTTTATGATTACAACCGCTTTATTTTGTTTCGCCACGGGAGACAAGTCGGCCGATCAACATTATCACCTGATCAAACGTTCCATCAGGAAATAGACGTAAATAGAATGCTCTTTGTACTCCACTTTCCACCCTTCAAATCTTGAAATATCTTTCTCTTTAAAGTTCTATCTCTGTTCAGCCAGGTAAAATGAATATACCGCCGCATAATTCTCAGCTTACGTGACACGTGGCACTGTTATGGTATGAAATTAAGCTGCAAGCACGAGATTATTGGATCTGAATAAAAACGACTTATCTGGTGGTGCTAAAGACAGATAATTCCAGAGTCGCAATTTTACATTCACAAAGATTTCCAAGGTCATACAAAAAAATAAGTAAGAATAAGGGTATTTGACCTTAGCAATGACCAACTGCTTATTTGTGTAATCACACGTCCGAAAAGTTTCACGAAAGAGCTCAGTCTTTCTCTGATCAGAGATCAGGCAGCCCCACTATCCCGCTGAGCACATTTGGTGGGTTACTGGGCTCTAGTTAGAGCAAGAGATCTTAAATATTTTCTTGGTTGTAGTCCATGTCTTGGTTAAAGTTGAGGAGGTTGGCTTAAGGGTGTAGGGGTTTGAAACCAGACATACTTACCAAATAAACTGACACCCCTGAACCTGAATGTCTCGAATCATCAAATGCTGGATCGAGATGTCGACTGTTCGAGGATTTTTACTTGTCCTGTGCTATGTGAAGAGCAATAGGATTAAAAGAAAAAAAAAATCAATCTCTTGGTGGTAAGCAATTCTGTTTGCCGGGTTTCCCTCACTGATTTCCCTCGTGAATTGAATTCAACATACATTTCTATCGAGATCTCCTTTCAGAACTGTGTAGCTAAGAAAGGATGAGAGAGGGAGGGGGGAAGTGGTTACTGCCGGTGATTCCGCTGTTTGTTGTCGAGTTCCGGTTGAATAACAATAACACTAATTGATAAAACACCCCCTCCTCCCACGTAAAAAGTCCTACCCGCTCTCTGCCACTGTTTCGGTTGGACCACCTGCATGTGCAGCTTTGCTCCACACATCGAAAAAAAAGGTGCATCTGGTCTTTGGTACAAATACCCAAGTAAAGCTTTGAACTCCAATTGGATTTGACTTAGATCTAACCAAACAATTTATTATCCTAAACTGTTGGACGTTCTCAGGATGGATTAACTGTAAATCACTGTAAATTCCTCTTAAGGAAGCGTAGATTACCCTCGACGATTATTAGTCGTGGCCATTCGTGTTCATTTGAAAAATGGATAAGCCATGCTAGGTACCTCGAATAAGAGAAGAGTCTGTGCTTCTCGACGAAGTCTGTCGCGCCTTTCGAAAAAAAAATAAGTGAAAGAAAAAAATTGATGTCAGTGCGCCGCGCAGAACCCAGGGCGTAAAGCTCACGTAAAACTACTTCTCTTGTGCCTCACGTTCAAAGTTCCGCGCGCGCTTACAAAAAAATTTTTTGTTTACTTATTTTTTATGACACGCTGAACAGACTTCGTCGAAAAGGAGGGATTGCTTGTTGTTTATTAGGTATCAATTGATTCCTTCATCTTTACAGTGCAATTGCTGTTACGTAGATCACTAACACAAATAATTGATTGATTTTAGGCCCGAAGAGCAATTTGTGACGCTTTACAAAATTTAGTTCATCACAAACTTGAGACGGAAAAATAATCCTAGAATAAGAGAGATGGTAAAATTTTAAGCTCGGTAAAAAGTGGCTGAGTGGTAGAGCATCGGAGCGCGGAATCAGAAGGTCTGGGGTTCGATTCCTTTACGACCCACGCTCATGACAAGATGAAAGACATCTTTCTCTAATTCTTTACCACCTCTCCAATTCTATGATGCTATCGACATTGCTGATCCTAGTAGTATGCAGGACGCTTGTCATATGAACTCCGTGATGGACTTCGCACACCGTAGAGTCTCTTTGGCTCAGTAGTAGGGCATCGAAGCGCGGAATCTGACGGCCTAAGATTTGATTCCTCGTAAGGACTCAGAATATTTTCTTTGTCCTACGCTAATGAGAAGACGAAAAACATCTTTCTCAAAAATAATCTTCTTGTTAAGAACTGCCAAGAAATTAAAGAATATTATTAGACAGCTCGACGAAAAATGATTGTAAAGGATGCGAGATTGGCCGTCTAAAGAGCCTGTGCATGGTTAGAATTTTCAGTCAACGTCTCGCGCAACATGGATATTTTACAAGTTAAGAACGAATTTATTCAATAACTTGTTGGACGAACGAAAGGCGTTACAGACTTGCTTATATTGGCAAAACAAAATAGCAAATTCTGCCGGTTGTGAATAAAAGCCCCTGATCTTCTGTTGCATTTTATCAATTAGTAGCCTGTGCATTTGGTCTTTTTTGTGCCCGCTGGTCTTTAACGTTAGTCTTAATTCTGTCATTTTTTTACTCATTAAGTAGCAGAATTATTCTGATTTATCGTACAAGAAGAATGATTAGGATTGTCTAAGCCTCACCAGAATGTAGGTCTTATTCTAGGGCGTTCTTTGAGATAACATGCAATAAGAGCATTGCGTGACATCCAAAAGAACTACCACGAGACAACCAGATTTTATCCTACATAACAAGACAGAAGAAATACGATTTTTTTCATGGTTATGGTTTCAATTACCAATTTAATAGTGATCTATTTTAATGAATTCTCTTTACAAATTTTGATAAGTTAATGGAAAAAAAATAATTTCACAATTTGAAAGAGTTATTTCCATTTACTGTTGCTGCCCGGCCAGCTTTTTTTTCCGAACACATTCCACGAGAAATTTGTACCGCAAAATACATTCTTCCTGCAAAAAAAGGGTATTAGATGTGTCAAGCTGTGTAAAATAAAACAGAAAGAAAAGTTGAGCTGACATTGAAAAAGTTCAATTTTGATAAAATAATTTTTGTGTGTGCAATAAATAGATTATTTCCTCGCCTAGGGCGCCTTTTCGAGGGGAGGTGGGGGCGGGTGCTTGCTTGATGTATTTGCCTAAGGGGGTGGGCGCTTATTGGAGGAAATACAGTATGCTTTTGACCCTCTTTGAAAACCAGTACATCTATTGTGAACGGTAAGCAACAATTTTTCTTTTGATTATATGACGTTATTAGTGCTACCACTCCGGAAAACCTTCCCCTGACTCGCCTCCAACCTTCCCGCGGGCGGAGAACCGCGCAGTCTGCAACGCTAATAATGATGGCCTGCTAGCTATCATTCGGACTACAACGATTTTTCTTTTGATTCGCTCTTTGATCGGTCTTGAAACCTTGCACCACTCTCTCGATCAACCGAGAACAAATCTAAAACCAATCTTGATTACGAGCAGTCCCTCCTCTTCAGCGTAGTCTGTCGCGCGAGTCAAGAAACTCAATGAAAAATATTGATGTTAGGGCGCCGTGGGGAGCTCTAGGAGTGACGTCGATGCGCCGCAGGAGCTCCATGAGTGAGGCTCTTGTAAAATAGTCCGCGGTCCTTACTTTTCGAGCGACGTCACTCCTGGAGCTCCCCGCGGCGTGCCGACATCAATTCTTTTTCACTGCTTTTTTTGACTCGAGCGACGGATTACGCCGAAAAGGAGGGACTAATCGAAGTCTAAAACCAATCGAGACAATTTGCTGGTTTCTACTTTGAGTTCTGATTGGCTCATCGTTATCTCCACCTTTGTTGTGATTGGCCGTTGAGAATGCATTGATTTTGGTTTTGAAGAAGACGTCAAGTTCTACTTCCTCACCTTAGTCTTGCCAGGCACAGCCTCAGCTATACAAGTCCATCTATCTGCCACAGTCTTCGGAAACTTCTGTAACGCAATCTCCAACTGTTTCTGCTGATTCTGACTCCACGCAGTACTGTCATCATCTGTCACGTTTTTCTTAGTAACGCCATCCGATTGCTCTGAAGTCCTGTCACGCAACACGGACGGTACAGATACTTCGCTTACGGGCCGATCGGCAACGTTCTTTGTCGTCTGTTGACTTCTCGACGATTTGTTACGGCGACGATTTGAGTTGCTTCCAAAGTTGTAGCATTCGTCAGCTTGCTCCAGGCATTCATCGCTCACCATTGCCTTTTTCTTGTTTATTACTAGCGTACTTAAGTCACCTTCACCTTATAAAACGCGAGAGAAAAAAAAAAACGCACAAACAAATGAATTAGAAACAGTATATGATTTCCTTTGGTTCGGCTCAGAAAAAAAAATAGGCGCTCGCATTGGGTATGTTGGACCTTCAAGAGAATGTAATAACTTTGCGTTTCATTTAAACGGTTCCGTGACACAAACGCGTCGACAAACAGGTAACGTGACACAACTAACAAAAAAGTGATTGTCAATATAAAAATATATATTCCATATCATAAAACAGAAGAACCTTATCCAAAACGAAATGGTTCAATAGAATGCTAAGTTAGCTCACAACAACAACAACAACAGGGAAGAAAAAAAGGAAATAATTAAATAAAAGTAATTTAAGGAGCAAGTACATTTCTTCTACCTGCGTTCGATGAATGAGTAGGTGCTCCATAGGATTGTTTTAACTTTTTCATTTGTTTTGTAACCTGCAGCACCAGGAAAACAGGACGTTAAGCTGACATGAAATGAAAATTACAGCCATGACATCACAATCAAAACCTCCGACTGGCTCAAGCGGCCATTGGGACTTCTCATTTCCTTACCTCTTCTACTGATCTCCCAATCTCTACAGCAATTTTTTCCCAACGGTTCGGTGTCCCCCCGGGAAATTTCACCATAGCACGGGTAAGAAGGGATTGTTCGTGATCTGTCCATTCACCTGACTGGAAAAAATGTAAAAGATCAGTTAAACTGCTTCTTTTCCTTTAAGTGAAGGCGGTCGTGACCGAAATTTTAGCTTGTTTCAAGACAGTTTTCGAAAGGTTTGGTTTATATTTGGACTGTCAAACCGCGCAAAGCCATAATGTAACATTTTTTTTCTGCGGGGGACAGAGACGACATTCACGTGGGTTCAGAATGTGGGTTCATTCAGAAGCATAATTTTCCTTCAAAAAGAAACCAAAACCTTCTGGGGGTTTACTATTCAAACGCGATAAAGAGAGGCTATAACATAATGGACTTGCGTATACTGCAAAAATGCAGTTATAAATGGCACGTAATAAGCTTTAACTGATGGCTCTACCTTATGAAAGGATATCAATAATTTGTATATTCTAAAACAGTAATTAGCGTCGAAGGCGCGCTCTGATTGGCTACTAAAACTCCAAATATCCTTTGCCATTGACCTCCGAGCAATATCATAATCGTTGCAGGCGGGAATAAATAAGTTAAAATCATCTTTTTGTGCTGTATTATCTCACTATTTAAGTTTATGTTGAAACATCTATCCATCTCACTGTCAGTGGCTAGCGGTTGATATTACCTTTGCCACTATGCGGCTCGATAAATATCCACCACTAGTCACCTCTACTTCGTCGAATAGTTGTTAACTAACAATCTCTCTTTTGCGCTATACTAAACAGACAGGCCATGACTGGAATTTGTAAAGAAAATTTTTCTTATGTTCGCTTCTAGTTCTGAACTTAAATATGACCAAACACATCTAATAAAAACAACAGAAAAACAACGCTAAACTGCAAGCTCTAACAATGCTGTTGAATCAGTAGATCACTGCATCCAATACCTTCTCTGTTACAGCGGAATGGTCGCCGTTATCTGTGGCTATCTTTAACACATTGGTGACAGGAGCACCCTCCCAGCTGTTGTCTTCTGTATCTTCCTGTGGAATGTTTACTCTCTGTCTTCTTCGTGGTCTTGATGGTTTTTCTTCGAAATTCAATTAATATACGCAAAAATTATTAAAAGTTTTTTGGGGGCCTTGAAGCAATAGCACAATAGCTTCAACTTCAAAAGTAGTTGTGCGTGCTCCTTACAAACCTGAAAACAAATAAATCAATGTAGCGGCTGCACGTTTGCCGGATAACATTGTTTAAATTGCAACAACAACACAAACTACATCACAAACACTATTAACAGCAGCGGAAAGTATGAAATCAATGCAACAAACAAGAAAAAAAACATCACAAGGAAAGATTAAAGCCAGTCTCTTAAGGACCGTTGCTTTTAGACTGCGTTTCGTAAAACAAAACCGAAACGTGGGCAAGTTCATAGCGCCATTTCTGCAATAATTTACATTGCACAGTGCAGAAAATTTCTTTGCGCCTTTTGTAGCTCTAAGAGTTGTTTTCCTAATGACAATTCTAAAAATTCGGTAGTGATTTAAAGGAAGCTCTATTTAAATTTGCGGATTTAAAATGCAAGGAAAGTAATTTGCAAAACACACAACTGCGGGTGATGACTTGAAATACCACTAACAGGGAGAAAAACAACCAACCAACTCACCTTCCAATTCATCATCATCATCGTCATCTTCATCCTCTTCCTCAATCTTTTCCATCCTTCTTTCTTCCAAGTATTCCACCATAGCCCGATATTGCTCAGGCAGTGACGTACAGAACCCAATCAGCCAGAGCGTCATTTTGAATGGCAGCAGGTCGCGCAGTGTGGGTTTTGACACACCAACCTCTTGTACTGAAACAACAAGGACAGTTTATGATGAAGCATTATCGTTTGACTCAAGATGTAACGTGTCGATCCATTCGAAGCTCCAACATCCCCCGGGGCAACCCAGGGGCATTTGAACTGTTAAAGATTGGTTCGTTCAAATGCCCGCCCCACGGGGCCAAAATTGTGTTCAAATGCCCTTCCAAAAAGCGGGATTTGATAATCTTCTTTTTTCTGTAAAAGGCAAAATCAGCGACCGCGACTTTCCACTCGAAATTACGAAAAATGCACGGGGGGGGGGAAGTGGAGAGGCGGGTAACCAGTGATAGACCATCATCACTTTCAGGGAAAGTAGCATTATCCCCAGTAGTTTTATGTTATCAAGACAAGGATAAACTTTGGCTCCTTGTGGTGCACCTTGGAGTATTGTTGCGTTCATAGGGAAGCAAATATCCGAAAACTGTAGAAAACTTTTAACCTTTTCCAGGGCGTCCTTACTGTAAAGAACACAGTGGTATTTATGAGAGCTTTAAATTCAAATCTAGTCTTTTTTTAGGAGTGAAAACAACGCCATCAGATGAAACTGGTCAACAAGTCTCACCCATTATGTCTGCAAGATCAGGAATGTCTTCATCATTCAGTTTGGATTTCAACTTTTTGTTCCGTTTCTTGTCCTCGCGTTTTTTCTTGGAAAATAGGAGCTCTTCCTGTAGAGAAAAGAATAGCCAAAACAAAAATTCAGAATTCATACATTTAGGAACCTGATTTGATTGAACTATGACAAAAGTCACAAAGTAACACTTTAGCTTCCATGAGTGACTGAGACAGGTTTCTCCGTACAATTTAACCTTGCGATATAAATTCAAGCAGACAAGTGATAAGAAAAAAAAAATCAATCAGTGGATTATTGGTTGATCCAGTGCCAAACTCTCCAAACTTATATTGTAAGAATTATATGGCAAACAGTAAGGGGAACTACTAGTGAGATCTTGTGAGTGAAGGGGTTAAGGACAGAGAAAGCAGACTGTGGCCATTATAGAAACATTACTTATTTTTTATTAGCTAAAGGTTTATATCAGAGAAAATATATTTCTGTTTGTTTGATTGCAATTAACCCATCCTACAGGTGTCCTTAAGATATCAAACAATTCATAAACCATTAACACTGTTAACTTGTGTTTAGAGGTGCTCACCATAAATTACACACAGAAGAACTTTAAATTGGATTTGGCACAAGCAAAGTGAAATCCTATTCAGTATTCCTTTGACTTTTTAACCCTAAGAATGACGAGCATCTAGTTTCTCCTGACCATATTGCCCCTAAATCATATATCAAGGTTACAAGAATTAAAGAAAATGATCACCAACTTAAGAAGCTCTGGATTGTTAAACAAATTTTTTTTGTCAGTACCTTGGGAAATGTCTAAAGAACAGTATAGAGAATATGCATGTTGATGTTAGGGTATAAAGGGTTAAGAGAGATGACAAGCTTCCAACTGGAACATACCAATTCAAGTTTTTTCTCCAAATAAATAGACCAAGCCACAATGTAGTGTCCAATGGTTAATATCAAAAAGAGAAGGATTGTGAATTCAATAAGTCCCATTTTGCGCACACTCCTGTAGTAAAATACAGGCTGTCGCCAATCTGGCAGGCCATCACGCAGAATGCCATCGTATCTATGGAAAACAGTATAAAGAGTAAACAAAGAAAGATGTTATTTAAATTGTCGTGAGTGTGGAACAACAATGACAACAACACAAAACTGAGTCTTGCACTAGAAGTTGAACTGTGGACTTTCAGATTTCCATGCTCTAGTGCTCTACAACTAAGCTACAGAATAAAGGTGGCAAGTTTCTAAAAGAAAATTGTTTTGTCACCTGGTTTTATCAACTGAGTTGAAAATGCAAATTGGCAAGGGGCTAATGCTCAAAACATCACTTTTAGAAATTCTTCATGGTGGCCAATTTATATATCAACTCAGTTCACAAAATCACATTCTGTGAAGAGCTAATGGTTATTGCTAAGTTTGCATGTGAAACATGTGAGTTCCAGAGAATAAAAAACCAAATAGTGTACACAAATCACATCCTCTTACCCAGCATTATGAAGTAAGTTCTATAGTATTGTCACAATACATAATATACTCTGTAGTATTTACCTTTTTCTTTTCTCTTCATCTTTCAGAACCTCTGATACTGCAACAAGCTGATGATCACAAGGAGAGATTTGACAATTATGAAACCTGCATTCAGGGGAATACTGTGAACCTGACTAAATCAATGAGGTGTTTCAGCCGAAAGATCTAGTTTTAAATTTAACAAAAAAGCAGGTGTTGGAATCAGCAAAGCTTTTGTATTTCCTATAACTGCAAACCTATATACTTAGATATATATATGTCTGTAAACATGCACATAGTTCTCTCATGATATAATTTGAATTGACTTAAAATTTTCCATTAGGGAATCGTGCCCATTGAAAAGCGTCACCCTTTGTGGATGCAATGACCTGGGAAAGAGGTTGCAAAAGCTCACCACCAGCTTCAGTCTCTTAAGATTCACATTTTTGTTGGTAAAGAGCAAGGACCAAGATAACACTACTAATTCTTCTTCAATGAATAGCCCTATGTTTCAGTTGTCTGAGCAAGAAACAATACTTGTGAATGCGACGTACATGGGGGATTACATGATTGACAGCTGGATTGACAGGCCTGTGTGAAGCTATGCATGCTCTCTTTCTCTTTTCTAGCTTATTTGCATTTTCCTGTGTAATGTTTTTCAATGGGCGTGATTCCGTGATTTCCGATTTTGTTATGAAGTCTACCCCTTTCTCCTCGGAGGTCTAAAAATAAATCCGCCCCCAACTGTCTGATAATTTTGATGCTGAGAATTTAATGTTCACCCTTTAACCCTTCAACTCTCATGAGTGACCAAGACAGAATTTCTCCTTACAATATCAATACAATAACAACCAGATAAATGATGAGACTAAAGAAAAATATTAATTTGGGGATGATTAGTTGATCCAACAATTAATTCTCTGAACTAACTTTATAAGAATTGTATGGTTGACAGTAAGGAGAATTACAAATTTGATCACGGAATTAAAGGGTTAACTCTGAAGATCTGATTGTTAATCATCCCCTCTTGATGCTACACATTTTCTTTAAAATTGATTACAAGAATTTGGTGTTAGATCAAGATAACAACTTCTACCTGATAAGCTTGAGTATTCTCTCGCTGTTTGCTAAATGATGTATGTATGGATATGATAGGGAGATGTTACATGTTAATCAATTCTGGGAGTTAAACCCTTTCACTCCATGAGTGACTAAGACAGAATTTTCTCTTTACAACATAAATAAAATATCAACCAGATAGCAGGGTGTGAAATTGCGCCCAATACAGGCGCCAATGCGACTAAATTTTTCACTTTGGCAACCAAATCCTGAAAATTAGTTGCCAAATTGGTGACTAGAATGCTTCATCATAACCTTACTTAGAGATAAAGTGAATTAAATTGGACATCCTAGTGTCCAATTTGTAGCAAGTTAAAGATCTTTTTCCTAACTTAATTTTGGAGGGTCTATCTAGAACGCTAGCAGCATTAAAAAAGGTTTTATTTGTCTTTAAAAATGGCGACCAACTTTTTTTGAATTGGCTACCACTTTGAAAAATTTAGGAGCCAAGTGGCTACTAGAAAAAAAAATTAATTTCACGCCCTGGATAGGTTATGAGAATAAAGAAAAAATGTCAATTAGGGGATTATTGACGACCAATTTGGTAAGCTGTCTGTTACTACTACATGTTTACTAAGTTACTTTGGATCTAAACAACAGATTTCTGTCTTTTATTCACCTGCCTGAATTTAACCTCAGCGTCAGGTTCTTTGTTCTTATCAGGGTGCAACTGAAGAGACAGTTTACGATATGCCCTTCTGATGTCTGCCTGGCTTGCATCCTAAAGGTAAATGGAAAAATTAAATCAGTGAGAATTCTCAGATAAAAGCAATGAAGTAGAATTTCCATCCAATGTAGGTCAATGCATTTTGATTGACCTTTTGACAGCTGGTAACTTATTGATGATCATAAATAAGTTACACACTTTCATTTCCTTTTTTTTCCCCAATAACTGCAAAAGTTCTTGCTCACTCATTGGTTGAGAACTATTGTCAATAAGGTTACAGACAATAAAAATGACGTAATGTGTAAGGTAATGCTTGGCAGTCTTCGTCATGTCAGAGAAAATAATTTCTCTCATAAAAATAATTGCAGATATCTGAAATACAGATCAAACAGCGAAGATTTTCTGAATTTCATGCCTTTTTGGTTTCATTTAGTTTTGAGGTAAAATTTCCGCACAACCCCATACCACATTATGCATTCAGTTCTTGGATATAGAAAACAATGGCAAAAACAATACATTGCCATTGGGAAAACAGATTTGTTTTACAATAGTATGGGGCTGTGCGGAAATTTTACCACCTTGACTAACCAAGAGGAAAGTAGCATATGCTCAACAGACCTTGAGTACGATCAGTGGTGCAAAACCACACTTTGTCAGAAGTTATCCGCGTTACGTTACAATAATTGAACTTACACTAAACTCGATATATTATCCATTGAAAGCCCGTGAGTATATTTTTCTTTCGACAAATACAACCATAAGTTGAACCTACGGTCAATAAGTCATTCAACTTTAGCTAACCAGCTATCGTTAAGAATTTATCCGACGAGAAAGATTCCGTCATACTAACCTGTTTTAGCCCAAGTATGTCATAAAAATTATCTTTGATTTCTTCTACAAGGTCGAATAACTCTAAATCTACAGAATCCCAGCCGTAAACGATCGAACATCTCGAAAATATGAAAAACATAAGAAAAATTCTTCTTAACATCAGTCCATCAAAAAGAGCCGCCATCTTGGAAAATGAACTGCATGGTCAGGCCCAGGCCCTAGAAGCCTTCCTCTAAGTAGCCTGAGAAATAATATGTCCTGGTCACATTACAAATAGTCCCCATCGCGTTCTCTGTTCTTTCCTTTCGATTTGTGTCTTCTTTTTGTTCCATTGTCGTTTTGTATTCTTTGCATGAAAGGTTCCATTAGATATGGATGAAATACATTCTACAAGCACTGTTCCTTATTCGTCAACCACCTCAGCAATTATATGGTAATGGCAAATGGCTCTTCCCTCTACCCTCCCATGGCTTGAAGTGAAGCTGTAGGTGTCTCTCAAGCTATATGCCAGTAAGGGGGCGATCCAACCTAGTAACAGGTGGTGTCGCCCAGCTTCTCACACAGTCACCCCAAGTTCCGTCGCCCTCAAGTGAAGTTCTGTCGCCCATAATTTTTGACCTAAGTTAAATAAAGGTTTGAACATATTTTGACGTGAGCTTTAAAGTTTGGAGGGCGACGGAACTTGGGGCGACCGCACAAAGGGGAGGCGTCACACACATCCTCTACCCTAACCTCCCTTCCCCTTCCCTACCGACATCCAGACGAAAAAAAATTACTTTGCAGCCGCTGACCGAACCATGTCTGAAAAAGTGTTGTATGCTTAGAGACACCACGTGTGTTTTTGAACAAGACGGACATCAGGGGGTAAGAAAGTTATTTGAAGCATCAAATCTTGAAATAAGCCCACTTTTTAACCCTTTAACTCGCATGAATGACCGAGACAGAGTTTCTCCTTACAATATCAATACAATATTCAGCAGATAAGTTATAGGGGTTTACTAGTTGATTCAACAGCAAATTCTTCAAACTAACATCACAATGGTTGTATGGCAGACAGTAAGGAGAATTGCAGAATGAGATCTTGAGAATGAAAAGGTTACTTCTCTATGGTTTAATTTAGGAAAATCATGTGCTTTTGAATGAGTTGCGCGGGTGCCGGGCCTCATTTTGTGAAAGGGAGTACCCGGGAAGGACCAGTATCCAGTGGAGTTTCGGAACTGAATTAGAAATCATATCTTTTAGGGTGAAGTACGATTTAAAATGATGCGCTAGAGTTTTGATTAATCTGCCTCATATCAGCCGACTTATCCAAAAGAAGATATCAGGTTACTACAGAAAGTTTTTCAAATATTTGATATCGTAACGCACTTTCAAGTTATTCATAGACTTCTTTTGACGCATAATTGACAATTTCACAAGTAAGAGAAAGTCGTTAAGTGTCGAAACTTGATACGAAACAGGTGGCAAGTGCTAATGGAGTCTTGGAGATGCTTTTGCTTCACGAAACAACCATTATGCTCTTGTTCACGTCGAAAAGTGTCCGCTAAAGAAAGGAAATAACAAAAAGTCCTATAAACTCAAGTAACACACCAACTTTCAATGGTAACTAAGAACTAATGTAGAAGTTTCAAAATTGAGACCTTTGGGCATGTTATAAGATTCACGCTTTCCATAATTGTTAAGAAGGAAAGTAGGATTTGTTTTGTATCTCGGAGAGTGTTCGTGTTCGTTGTTTTGACTCGACAACTTGTCCTAGAGGTCTTTGCCACAAGTTGGTTCCGTGCAGAAGAAAAGTAAACAATGAAGTTTATATTTCAGCACACGTTAATTAAGCAAAACACACATTGCTGTTTATTGACGAGAATTCTTCAAACTGACACGTTTCCACACCAGGAAAAAATTTAAATCAATTAAGTCAGGCCACCATTATTGAGTTAGCAATGTAAAACACATCGTCAAAAGTTTTTCCAAGTGCCTCGAAATTTCCCACTAATTTTCATGCTGAGAAGACTTTTATGTTTTGATCTAACATACATTCATGTCTATCTCCTTTTTAATGATGGCATAGTAAAGTTAGGGTCATTTGAAGTTTGCTCAGCTGATTTTTAAAAACCTTTGCAATATTTAACCAGGTCAACATGCTCTTGTTTGAATAGCAATGTGTAATTGTATATCAACCAAGATATCCCGAATTTTACGAGAGTCTTTAAGTTGCCAAAAGAAGCCGAGGAAAAGGAATCAATTAAAAAACAATTTATCTTGATGAATGAACTAATGTCGTTTATCCCATAAAGTCTGGTCGCGAAGAGATTTGCGTCTTGTGAATTTTTTAATTTAAATTTTTTTTAAAGATGCAGTATGGAATCGTGAAGATAAGGCTTGCTGTAAGAGAAGAAATCTCCTAGACACCCTTTATTTTGCAAACCACAGTCTCAGCAAGACTTTAAAATTGAGAAATAAAACTTGAAGCTCAAAAATAAAATCTTGACGGACATTCAAATCAAAGAAAGCTTAAAGACCTAGCAGATGCAATCCGTAGGTTGTTTGTTTAAAAGGATTTTAATAATTTTCCATAATAATTTTTAACAGTCCGTGAGAAAGTTACACTATGTTCGGTTTAAGTTTGTTGCTTAAAATTCTCACGGTTGGATTAATAAAAAGCGCGCAAATTCCCAGCGAATCTCATTTGTGATCGACGGCACCGTCGCGCACGTTTGAGTCACTCGTTGCTTTGCGTTCAATTTTCGTGAGGCTCGCGTAAAGCTTTGTACCTTAAAGGTTTGTATACAAGATGTGTTTATTTTTTTTCTTCAATCTTTACACATGTTGAAATTTACTTTTGGATATTGCGTGCTCTCGGTGCTACTGGGGTATTTTTTCTCTGGTTACCCAAATTGAGAATCATTTTTTTTACTCGAGGGAGAAAGGTTTATGATAGTCAAGTCATATTTGCTCGGGAGACTTCACCAAGTTGAAAAGGCAAGCTCTACGTTTCTTTTTACATTAGAAACTTTGCGTGCAAATGCATTCCCAAATGAATCAGCAAAAAAATTGTAGTCCTGAATATTTTCGAACAGTTTTTTCGTCAATGCTAAGCGTATTTTCTCGCTCATTTCAATTTTTTTTCTATGAAATTCAAATCCGATTTCATTCCACAAAGAAATCCTGAACTGAAACTTATATATGACTACAATATTGCACATGTGTTTTTCCTTGTTTAAGCCTATCTACTTTTTTTTTCTTCATTTTTTATGCCTTCTCTCATAACAATTACTAAAGAGAACGTGAAAATGCTTCACACAAACTACTTAAGACTTTGCTTGTATGCGAGGAAAGCCAGCTGTAACCCAGATAACCCAGAGACTTCTTGGATACAGAAGTGATATCAAAAGTCGTACTTTTGTTTTATCATTTCAAAAACTATTTTGAACCTTGACTCATGAATTTTGCCCCGAGGTTCCCCTTGTTTAAATTTTAAGATTTTAAATGACCGAGTTAAAGACCTCTCAATATGCTCTGAAAAATTCCTGGTCGAAAATTGCGTTTCCTAGAGGAAAACTTATTATCAGTCAATTTGATTTTCATGAAACAGCCGCCTTATTGTTAGCATCCCACGCTTTTCAGTTTTTAAAGAATCTTAAATTGAAAGCTGAAAAAACAAGCCTTGGTGGGCAAAGAGCAAAGATATTGTGATAAAAAAAATTCAATTTCGTAGACTATTTTGAAGTCAGATTCCCTTAAAAGATTCCAATTGGTTGAAAAAGTCTCCTAGAGAGAAATCCTTTCATTTTCGCTCCTTCAATGGTGAGGATGAAAACCTCGCTCGAGTAGAAAATAAATTTGTCATGATACATTCAGCGTCAAACAGTTGAAAAGAGATGTTAAATTCAATTCTGATAATATAGTTTTGCAACACGCCCGGAAGAAGGTATAGTGCCGGGAACATCGCCTTGGAAAATTAACTTACGCACCAAAGGCAAGTTTAAGTAAAATTCTGTCGTCGTAATTTTCAAAGTATTCGCTCAGTGTTTTTGTTTATTTTGCCACGTGAAAGCTCAAAAATATTCAATGAGGGCTAACATCATTTGAAGTCGGGTAAATTTTACTCGGAGAGACAAATTTTACGTATTCAAAACTTCAGAGATAAAAGCGGCTTGTTTCATAATATAGATAACAGTTCACACGTCTAAAGTTATTCGCAACTTAACAAATTGACGGACGGCAAATAATGACAAAAGCGAAACAAAAGCCTAAGGTTTGCGAGAGATATTACCCTAGCGTTCAATTGATAAAGAAAGCGTCAAATTTCGCTCGTGTCGTTTAAGTACAAAAATAAAAGGAAATTGATTTCATCGTTTTTTTGATATATCTAAGGATTTACTTTTTCCGTCTTCCCTAGAAGATCTCATTAATTTTTAATCTTTGTGCCATTAACAACAGCTTTCGGCCGGATAGGAAGTAAGTTTAGTAATCAGACACATTGTCATTTATCTCTGGGGATCTGAAGATTCTTTTCAGTTAAGACTGAGTTTTAATCACTAAAATGCAAATAGGTGACAACACTAATCGGCAGTTTTCACTGTGGAAGTATCGAAGGGGTTAATTACAAGACAAATTTTCTGTTGGTTTTTTTGAAATGTCCAGCAGAGATGTAAACACGGCGAAACAATAGCATCAAAAAGAGTTTTAGATCTGTAAGAAATTCAGCCTTAAATATTTGCCAAAATTATGGCTAGAAAATCGAAAGGGTACGCTAGGAAAGCACAAGTTATGCAATTTTTTCAGTTAATTATAAAACAATACTTTTGTTAATCTGATATTGAGTACACATGACATTAAAAAATCAGAAACTAAACCACCAAAAACCACAAAATGCTGACTTATTTTCTTTCGAAATTCCTTGGATTTTAGATATATTGCCATTTCCCGGTCCACCGTTTACGCAAAATTACAGGAAGCCCGGGTAAAATTAAACAAAAAAATTATATTCGGGACGGTATGTTCGTCATCATTGTTATTTTACAATTTCTCCAATGCCACACGCGTCAACATTTCTCGCGTTCAAAAACACTCAAGGAGTCCTGTTTTAGTAAACTTTAACTCATCTTTCATTCAGTTCAGTTTTAGTTTGGATGATTAATTTCTTGAGAAAATACACTCAAAAACGAGGCCTTTGCGAAGTTAATTTTGCGGTGTTTTGAATTAAAATTTCACGCCGAAGCGAAATTAAAATTGCTGCTATTCTGTTTTGTGAGACGAATTATCTTTACCATATGTGCTGTTCCCACGGTACGAAGTGTTTTGGGGCAGCTGTAGGAAAAACTAAACAAACAATTATTAGTGAAGAATGCATTAATTGAAGTTAATAATGGATGGGATCGTGTCTTTATTTTGTATGTCGCATTTAAAATCTCATTAACATATTAGTAGTATTTGTTTGGGCTTTCTAACAGGAGCCAACAAAAGGACTGCAAGACACGATGTATCGCCTTAAAATGTATCCTTTCTCACCCGTAAAATTTTTTTCTGAGGTAGAATACAAATGAAACTGGGCGAAATGACCTAGATCTTAACTCAGAAAAGAAAAAAAAAAAAAAAATGACGGAAGCCATTTCAATAGGAGGCTTGAAATTGGTTACCGGACATGAAAGATACATTAATGACTTTAAGTTGGCTTTCTGTTTAATATTTTTCTTTCAGGCGCTAATAATTGAAAATAAATTTAGTCGCAAATGCTTTGACAACTTTAAGTAAGAGTTATGTGGCGCAAAAAGAAAAAGAAAAGACTTTCGTTTGCCTCAGCGTCCTCTTTTTTCCTTCAGTTGATTCTATATGGATATCAGAAACTTGCTAGTTGTCCAAAGTGATACTTTCCTCTTCGTGTAGTATAAACTAATTACAAGACAGGCGAGTGAGGTTTTCGCAGTTATTAAACAAGCTTATTACAGCTATCACAAGTTTAAGCATGGTATCATTTTTTTCATTTTCACAAAATTACGGTTTTTTACCTTTACGAATTTTAATCGTAGACTATGGTTTATGAAATTCGAAACACGAAAATTATCTTGCCTGCGAGAAATTTTAAAATAGTGTTTCTTTGAGAGTAGCGCCAATATCCATTATTAATCATCTCGGCGAAGAAAAGGTGCCTAAATTAAAGCAAGCTTTGTAAAGACTTTTTTCCTTTTTTTAATTGAGCCAGAAATATTATCTACTGCGGTGCTTTCTTTTGTTTCATTTAAATGAAGTCAGCTTTTGGCGGATCTTATCTGAGAGTTTGATGCCCTCATTGTAACGTAAGGGTATTTAAGAAAAACAATTTTGCTTAGAGTTTTAATTATTGTTTGGAGCGAAATACATACGAGGAAGAAAACCACTTATACATCATCACTGCAGGAAACCTGATTTCTTTGACATAGGTTTTTTTTTGTGCCGAGATGTCAAGTAACACTTAGGTATCTATACAATATACAGTATTAGTTAAGAAGCTGTTTAAGTGAATTTTGTCAGCACTTTGAAAAGCTTAAAATGTAATGCGCATCTAGATGGTGAATTGACGGTAAAGTCGTCGGTAAAATTGGCTGAAAATGATATAACACGAATCCCTCACTTATCTCAACGGCTCTGGCCAATAATTGACCTGGCAGGCTTTTCTGTTGTGCCTCAACAAAAGATCAATTCTTCGGCAGAAATCTAATTGATAAAAATCAGAGATTGGAGAATAAAAGTCACCTTTGCCTCTGAATTAGGAATAATGAAATAAGTTGTATGCATTTTAGCATTCAAAACAACAGCTTTTTTATAGCTTCAATTTAAAGCACGTGGCCAAAATGCTGTCATGATCCGTGCAGTGAACAAGATTGACTTTTGAGAATTGTAAGAACCTCTCATTACTCATGACTGTATTCTCGAATTTACACTGACATTCGCCACAAAAATCCTTTCAAGGTTGCAAGTTGAGCGAAAAACTTTACAAACACAAGCAATGATTACTTTTATGGAAAACTCTAGGTTTATTTTTATGCAAAAACGAGCGAAATTCCGCCTTACCAAGAACCCCATTGCGGTCGGCTTTAGGAAGGGGTTTTCCTTTCTTTGAACTACAAAAGACGTGAATATCTCACAGAATTCTTAAGATTGCCTGTAAGTTGTCTGTGCTTCGTATGAATGAATGGCAAATTCGAGGTTTTGATTCAAATTTTAGATCAGATCACTAACAGACCCTAACCAAAAGTGTTTGTTAAGGGATTTACATCACCGATCCGATTTTCAACGCCCATAGAATCTCTCGTGTAAGTTACATTTCGAGAACTTCCGCGGCAAACAGTCACATCGAGTGTTTGCGGAAACGCCAAGTCTGCAGACCCACAGTTAATTAAATATTCATACTTTTCTGAGAATTGTCCGCTACAATTTTCGTTTTACCTGTTACAAGAAGATAGCAGAATTCAAAGCAAGGGAACATAGTTAAGAAGACGATAAACAGCAAACACACCTGGAGAAAGCGATTAGTTGTCACTAACATAGCGCTCACATAATTGTCAATAACAGTTGTAGGTGAATTCGAACGTTTTCTTTTGAATAACGCATGCGCAGAACTTTCTCTTAAAACCCCCGAAAAATTTTACGTTAAACACCGCTTTTCTATGCTGTGTTGAATTTCGATATCGAAAGAAAACTCTCATAAATGGGAAAAAATACTTCTCAAGGCACTGATGTTCCCGCCAAGGGCTAAATATGAATAAAACATGAAAAAAGATCTCTTTTTTGCATAAATTTGCGGCATTTTTGTGACTCCAGTATTTTTTTGCTTCTTAGGTCGCTCACTCGATAACATTGAGCCGACCCCAATACTGTCATTTCTAAGAGGAAGCTTGTTTTGGCTTGATTCACTTGTGAACTGAGAAAATTCGCTGGTTAACATAATTACCAGCGCTAAACGTGCTCAGTAACTTGTGTTTTTGGCAAATTTTAAAAGCCTTTTACGAGTCACAGTCAAATGTGTTGACATACAACAAAACAATACTACTACTATCCATCGTTAATTAATATATTTCACATCATAAACACTGTTTTCAATGAAATATTCCATCTTTTGCTGCTTTTTCGTTCCTGGAAGAAGATGGGAGATTCTAAGAGGATTGAGGGGGTCTCTGCAGAGAATGATCTCTGTCAGCTCCCTCCAGAGACTTCTGGCCGACGAATCCTCTTTGATTATTCATTCATGATTTATTTTTAAGCCCAAAAAACATCTGCTTCTCCTATTTAAATCTCTACAAACAAAAGAAAAATCTAATTCACTGCATGGCGTGGGTAACACCTTTAATAAAGGATACAAGTCGGAAGAAGAGTCCGCTCTTGAAACTCACGCTCGATCTAGCAGACAATGGGGGCTATGACAGGAGACCATAGTCACAGTGCTGTTTCATATACACTACCTCGTCTCCTCTGCCATCAAGATCTGGCTCTGAATCGATTGCATGCGTCTGGTGAATGCGCCAGGAGACGTTGACAATTGAAACAAAGCTCTGAAAGGGCCAAATAATTGATCATAGCTCAGGGTCTGGTTAATTCAGGGCGCACTATACAAAACTCATGTGTCGTTTCTCGACCAATCACGTCTCGTCTCCACAGGGTAGATATCGACCAGTGTGTTAATGAAAAAAAGAGCTATTCAGAAGCTCGCAGGTTGTTACCAATTGTGTAAATCTTCGAACGTGTGCACACATAATACCTGTCTCCTTTCTTTTAAATGGAGCTGCTCTTGGAAATGGCTCGTCACAGCTGCCTCTTGTCTGTTTAACAATACTTTTCCCGCAGCTGCGATAGGAATATGCTTCTTGGTCTCAGCAACGGAGACAGTATTTTGTATTGATAGGCCAGAACCGACACAAGCAATTACGTCGGCCATTATCGCTTTAATCCATGCAAGTGAACGTGTGTACCAATATCATTTAAATATATCCCCCTGATAAAGAGTATAACACGTTTGGGGCTCATGCAAATAAGCGTATCAAGACTTGGGGTCGATATTCACACCAACGGATTAAAATCTCGTTTGTCTAGCGCAGGTTGTTTAATAAAATGTCATGCCTTGCGTTCGTGGCCAGTGTTTACAGCATTTATCTACCTGTTACCTGAAAATTGGTCTCGTGCAAGGGCTTCCAAAACCCATCCCCAGCCCATCCCACTTTGGAATGCTTATGTGAGTGAGGAGCATAGAACAAAGCCCCTTAACGCTCGGTTGCTCAACATTCAGAGGGGTGTGACACCCCTAAGCTATTACATTGCACAAATGTTCTACGGTCGAGCCTTTGGAAGGGCAAACACGCCCGCACGTGCAAAGAGGGCAGCCTTGATCGATAAGATCAAGAGCTCATTGGTGTAAACCCACGTTTTCTCTTAGGAAACACGACAAATGAGGCTCCTTGTTTCGTCTGATGGTGCCGTGAGGTCTGCACAGTCCAAAAGACCTCCTGGGAAACACGATTACTCAACCATTCTATACGAGTCTTTAGAAATCTGATAGGGTTCTTTATGACACAAGGAGCACACACGGTAAAGTCAAAGGCCCGTTAGTTATAATATTCCACGACACAAGACAAACGCCCTGAAGTTTGAGCCTTCGTTGAGGAGAGAGGAAGCAAACATGATCCGGTTCTTTTTTCAGAGCGATTATATTTTGCGCAGCTCATTAATCTTTAATTTGCCAATAATACCGAGCTACGAAAAGTCGAGCAGTTTTATGTAAATTAAGTCTCCCGCGCAGTGAGACCACATTCACTCTTTTGTTAAATTCAAATGTAACAAAAGGCCGTACAGTTTATCCCCATGACGAATTATATTTTTCATAAATTTACTTATCAAAGAGATTATGCCACTTAACTTTCCCAAAAATAAAAATCACACAAGTAATGTGGAATTCAACGTTTTTTAATGTACAAATTCTAGATGTGTTTAGCTTGGAGAGAGAAAAAATTTACAAAAACGTTTTACAGAAAAACCAGTCACCGTTAAGTTTATTTGATTAGAATTCCTCCCTCAGAGAAAAATGCAAACACGACACACTACACTAACCCACAAATGAAAAAAAAAATCTCTCTTTATATTAAAACTTCGTTCGGGCTTCCAGATATATTACAATGTCATCCTCACAAGCTAATCATTAAAAAATAATTCTACCTCTGCTAAATTGCAATTAAAGTTCAATATTTTCCTTGCCGTGGCATAAAGTGTAATTAACAGTATTTTCCTTTTCTCACAAAGGCGAAGGATACATTGCATTGTTATGTATTCTAGGATCTTCAGGGGTCCAAATTTTCGCTTTCATAATACTGGACGATAGTTTGGGTTTCTTCGAATCTGTCCACGACAGTGAATGGCCTGTTAATGGCGGAAGACCGTACTCTTGAGTACCTGCCAAAAGGGAAAACAAGGCGAGGAAAAAAAAGTGAGCAAACACGAAGAATATCAATAAAAGAGTTGAAATGTATAAATGATATGTGGATTTTGCCTCGTGTGTTATATGGAATGGTAAGGGTGGCTCTTGTTTGCTCTTTAAGGATTTTCCAACCGATTTTGGCGAGATTTCCTTTAATTTGCAGTTTATAAAATGCAAAAAAATGACCAAAACGTCATTTTGATTATTAGCCATCAGCCCTATATGTACGTGAGAACTTCCCAGATGGGTATAAACTTCAGTTACCAAAGCGAAAAATTCACTCCAACATGTACTCACCGAAACCTCTATGGCATATCATAACTTTTCTGGGTTGTTCCGAAGATGTTGGTTGTAGCGCTTGACTGTGGCTCATATCCGAACTAATCATTTCTGTAAGAAAACCAATGTATCCGATAGCTAGTCGTAAAGTGTCGACTTTCGATAGTCTTTTTTCGTAAGGTAGCGTGGGGATGTGATGTCGAAGGCCCTCGAATGCCTCGTTTATGCTTTGCATTCGTTTTCGTTCGCGTAAGTTTGCTGCATGTCGTTGTGCGATTTGCTGTGTTGGGGATTTCCTTCTTCGCTTTCGCTTTAAGCTCTTCTCGTGATGGTCCGCGGAGGTGAAATGAAATTGACTTGTCAACTGCGACTGACTCTCACGAAAAGTGATCGGGCTCTCCATCTGTTAACGATTAAGATTTTCCTTGGGGAGACTTGATGCTCCTGAAAGGTTTTTCGCTCCAGCTAATACACAGTTGGCACACGTTTCTCACAAGTCGGTCGACTTATAGCCACTTTTAGGCGGCCAACGAACCAATCACAGGCGAGCATGAGAAACAATGCTTCGATACAGAGCTGTGTCACTTTTCTATTGTGATGAGTATTCTGCCGACTGCAACTAAGTGTGAGTTCAGCGTTTAATAAAACTATGCAAAAACTTTCAATACACGACGAAATTTCATATCGCTTGATTTGCGTTTAAAAGGCAGTAAATACGAATTCGCGATATCTAAATAAAGAAATGGAATAATAATGACGAGATAAACCTGCCGCTTTGAGCCATTGTTCGGAGCTTAGAAAAACCAATTTTTTTGGAATTTAATCAGTTCTTTTAATTGAGAATCTTCCTTGCTTCCCTTTTCTTTTCCACGTTTGTATCGAAGAGAATGACGAATCGAACAATAACAATCGTACTTGAGATAAAGAACAACTTCCCCGAGCAACCTCGGCTGGGTTTCAAACCGCAAACAAACTTCTCGGGCTTTGAGTGACTGCGTAAACACGAATTAGTTGTTGAGATATCGCGAACGTTAAAACAAAACTCAAGCGTTCATCATCAAAGAGATTTTATTACTTTGACAGCGAGAATGAAGTCAGCGTTTTGATTCGCATACGACCGAACGAAAACACACCAACCTTTCTGACGTCATGGGTGACAAATTTAACAAAGACACGATCGAGAGAAAAAAAGAGAAAAAAGCAAATGTTGATTTGGAGTCTACAGAATGACAAACGTTTTGCGAAACACGTTTTGCTCGGTTGGGTTATTGGTATTAAAAGTTTGAAATACCTTGTTTTGTGCCATAATTTAATTTTGTTCGGCACAGCAAGGAATCGTCCACGTCCTCACAGAAGAGCACATTTCTTTGAATTGAGTTAATATGACAGAGGCTGGACGCGACAAATATGAATACTGTATTATTCTTCGTCTCTGGGTGATAGTAATTTATGCCATCCGTTATTTCCGGGCGAAACTGTGAAACGAACGCTATTTTGCTTCAAATTCATCGAGATTATCCTTTTGGATGCTTTGTTAAATTCTCGATGGCCTTTATTCAGCTCGATTGGGAACTCTCGCAAGGAGATGTTTTGAGATTACCAAGCTGAACAAAAGGACAGCGCTTGGCGAGTAAACAATGTATAAAAGATAATAAACTGAACGAGATTGCCCCATTGTATGGGAACAGTGGAGTCAGCGATTGTAATCAGCGTCCACCGCTATTTAATGTCATATTCCAAACTCATTGTAGCCTCAAGCGCTTGTCAATGAGCTCTGATTTAGGAGTTAAATGTCAAAAAAGTCCTCCTTTTACACGATGTGTTTCAAACACTAGGCAATCATTTCTCTCGATACTCGAAAAATAAAAGTCGTCGCTGTCGTAACTAGTATCGAGAGAAACGAGTTTTTTTAAACAGATCTTTCGAGAAGAGATGTAAAGTCCAAATTGTGTCGCAATCTTATACAATCATTCCCGGCTTATGTATTCCCGAAAGGCAGACAGATGTTTTTCGAGTATTTGTATCAGCAATTGATGTACGTTAATGTGTAAAGTACAAGGAGAGGTATTATAATCATTAGCATAGGCAGTCTCCCTTGCTTTCGATTATTTTAACTTTTAATAACAAATTTCGATCAAATGAAACGATCAGATAATTTGCCGCGCAAAATTGACGAAATCGAATCTTTTAAAATGTTTCCATTTACTTCGAGTTAATGAGCTGTTACGGAAAGAGCGTTCTTTTTATTTGAAAAAAGTAGAAATCCCTAAAACCACTCTTGCCTGTTACGGGAGAGTGAAATGTAAGGAAATTGGTACGTCTAATGGGGAAAAAAATTCGCCCGTTGAATTACATTTTGATTTTTGATTCAAGTGTATGGGAAAAAAAACAACACGCTTAAAATGCACGTGTTTGAGTTGAAATCTCTTTAATATTTTACTTACTCGAGTGCCTTTCATTACTTTAACCATTGTTGCACTTCTTGTTTCTGAAGCACTAAAAATAATCGTCATTTTGTTTCAAGTTTCTAAGAAGCAAACAGATGGAACTGTTGTGAGTTTGTTAATTGCCCCAATGTGCTTGTATGACAAACTGTTGCCATCGTTCAAAGAGAAGACAAATCTTTATCCTAGCGCTTGGTAATCTTTTCTTAAAACAAATTTGAAGCCTTGTAAAAAATTTGATGAAGATATTTTAAGACAAAATTATTCTTCAGTTAAAAAAAGTCGGGCACAGTTAAGGTTCCTGGGTTTTTCGTTCAAAAGTAAATGTGACCTGGGATTCAATATGTTTTGGTCGGTGTTCTTGATTCATTCTCGACGCAAAGGGAGTTGTTTTATTTGATATTGTCATTTAAGACAAAGAATGGTTTGTAAGTTCAACGGTGTGAGAAGACGTTTACTTTAAAGCTTTAGCAAAAAACTAAATAAATACATTTCTTGAGATAAAAATTCGGAGGAAACGGTTTGAATTTATGCTGATGTTTTATGCCATCGAACTAAATAAGTGCTGCTTCGAAAGAATCACGATTTTAGCCCACGATTGCGTGCTTTTCTTTGCAAAAATATCTTAAATCGTTCATCAGTTACAGTGTTCAATTGATTTTTTAGCGGTTAGTTTGCTGTGTTAGTCCAGAGCAACCATTAATCTTAAGAATCACAATCGAATTCGACAGACCTATCTGTTTTTCAAAGCTTCCGCATATTGTTTCTTTTTTCTAATTATTATAGTAGTTATTTTGTCTTTGAATACAAGAGTACACTGTAATTACCATATTCATTACTCGACATACTTTAATGATATCGTCTAATTGTAGCTTTGCGTCCAAAAGTGAACGGCGCAGAAGCCTATCTGATTGATTTATGCACATGCTTTTAAAAAATATTGCGCTGGTAATGTGCAACCCTTGGTCTTTGAGAAACATGCAAATTTGAAATTCTTTACCAAATCATGGGTAGAACAAAGAGATAGACAAACCCGAAACGCATATTTGCGAACTCAGTCCGCGCATCGTTCCACATATTCTGTATAGTGAAAGACTGACTGATTTTAAAAACATAAACGGCTTCCTCTTTAAAGCAAAATGGTGAATGATATCGCCGTTTATCAATCACGGATAATTTTTTCCAAAATCATTGTTAACTCTTTTTATAAAATATCTGATGTATTCATATTATATGTTAAACTAAAGTATTCTGGTGAATTAAAATTAGATCAAGGGTGCAGACAGTAAACTTTAAAAACGGACGTAAACATCGACAAATTTTCTCACCGCTAACTTCTTGGAGAATCCAACTTTCCCGCGCTTCTTGGCAACCTCGCTTGCCAGACCGCGGGACTTTCTCTGAAGTAAGGAGTTATTACTAGTCTCTCAATAAAATTTACCGCTACCGTGTTGGAGGGCAAAGAAATACCCATTTGATCATGAATGATAGAGGTACCGTAATGAACCTCTCTGGAGGAAAATTATGGAGAGGTAGAGCTCCGATTGTCAGATTGCCATAATTCGATACAGATATTTATCTACTTTTATCAGTTCCCAGTTTATAATCAAGTTGGTGTTTCTCTGATTCGGCTCATTTTGAAATTTAAATAAGAATTATCAAACTGCATCAAAATATAAGTATTTCAACGGAGAAATTTATGAAGACATAAATGTTATTACTTCCTGTTATTGTTAAAACCTGATATACGAGAAATTTTGGTTTTTAAGTTGAAAATTACGCTTAGAGAAAGCACCTCTTCTTTCGTCTAGCTAAACTGTATCAAAAATCTTCTTTTTTTGATTGCAAATTACTAAACAGCAGTAATCTCTTTTAGGGCCCTTGTTTTAAGAAAGTGTTTCATGTTGTTACATAATACTGAGAACACCTTGCGAACAGGAATTGATCAATTCATTTAAAATACCTGCATAAAAGAGTCGATTGTTAACTCCGTTTTGCCGTAAAACCACAGAAACATTAAAACCAGTGCTTTAATGTTTTGACCAAGGCATTAATTCTACATTAAAAACCAAAACATCTGACTTTTATTCCAAGAGTTGTCAACGACAGGAAAAAGCTATTTAATTCACCTCTTAACCTAGCGCTTTCTGTCAACACCTTTTTGGAGATTTAATGCTTACACGCGGTTTGTTAGTATCAAACCATGAATTTTGTATCGTAGGAATTCTTAGAAGTAAAGAATGAGCCATTCTTCGGTTCTTTTGTCATTTTTTCCCATATCATGAACAACACATGCATAGGTCGATGTGTAACGTGTGAAAACAAACACAAACAACTTTTCTCTGTCCATTCACTGACGCTTTGGTTAAATTGGGCTTGTTTTTCTCTGTTCATTATTCACCATTCATGTCTCCAGTGGTGCCGGCACACAAAAAGAACGATTCAGAAAAGCCCTATTTCAAAAATATTTCGAAAGGAAGAAGCGCTAAAAAGCAAATATTATCTTTAAAGCAGAAACCACCCAAGGAAGATGAAATCAAAGGGAACGGTTCGTTGCTGCTGAAACATTCGGGAAGCTGATAAAAACTCCATTGATGGAAACAGTTGCAACATGTTGTAGTGCATTGAATAAACAGTGAAGATCGAAATAATAGGAACAATCGAACGCTACTAATGACAGAGACTACCTGTCAAGGTTCATTAATCGAAGTTGGAATACTTCCGATTGTAATGCGACGCGATTCTACGATCAAGTGATTACGTCAAATTTTTTTTTTCAAGTGCAGCGTTCATAAAAATTGTTGTTACAAAACTATCGGTCTTTGCGGACGCGCTGTTTTTCCATTTTAAGAAATTCACCAAGAAAGTAAATTGAAGAATTTTGACTTTCACCTCCACCCAAAGAATTTATTTTACTTTTGTGATGGAGGAAAGTAAGCAGTGTAAACTTTGAAGACGACACCTGTGCTAGTAGGAAGGGTTATTCTTAGGAAATCAATACTGAAAATTCCCAGAGCAATTAGATTTTCGG